CAGAGTCACAGCTCACAGAAACCTCCAACTCTTGGGCTTAGGCAATTCTCTTGCCTCAGCCTCCTGAGTAGCTGGGACTACAGGTGCCTGCCACAACTCCTGGCTAATTTTTCTATATTTTTGTAGAGACGGGGTCTTGCCCTTGTTCAGGCCGCTCTCGAACTGCTGGCCTCAAGCAATCCTCCTACCTCAGACTCCCAGAGTGCTCAGATTACAGGCATGAGCCACAGCACCAAGCCAGAACTGTATTTTTTTGATGGTTACCAGTGGCTGGGAAGGGTACTGGGGAGGGAGAATAAAATAGGAATGATTAATGGGTACAAAAATATAGTTCAATAGAATAAACAGGATCTAATAATTAATAGCACAACAGAGCAATTATAGTCATTATGTTCTTGCACACTTTGAAATAACTAAAGGAGTTAGGATTGTTCCTAAACAAAAAAATGATAAATACTTGAGGTGATGAATACCCTTATTGCCCTGATTTATTACATATTGTATACCTGTTCAAAATATCACATGGGAGGTGGCGCCTGTGGCTCAAAAGGGTAGGGCAATGGCCCCATGTGCCAGAAGTGGCAGTTTCAAACCCAGCCCCAGCCAAAAATGACAAAAATAACTGAATAAATAAATAAAATACCACATGGGCCTCACAACTATTGTGTGCCCATAATACTTAAAAAATGTTTTAAAATTTTAAAAACTCTTTTTTTATTTTAAAATGTATGATACAAGCATAATTTTCTATGCATAGATTTCATGGTGATGTCAGCCAAATAACGTACATTGCACCTGTCAAGTAATTTCTCATCATCCACCCCCCACACCCTCCTACCAAATTTCTATTGTCTGTCATTCTTCACTCTACATTCATGTACAAATTGTTTAGCTCTCAGTTACAACTGAGATCATAATTTGTCTGTGTCTGACTTGTTTCACTTAAGATAATGGCCTCCAGTTCCATCAATGTTGCTGCCAAAGACATAATTTCATTCCCTTCTATGGCTGCATAGTACTCCATTATGCATATAAACCACATATTCTTTCTCTAATCATCCACTAATGGATGCTTTGGGTAATTCCCTATCTTTACTATTGAGAACAGTGCTGTGCTAAACACAAGAGTGCTGATGTCCTTTTTCTATAATGATTTCTCTTCTTTAGGTAGCTGCCCAGGAGAGGAATTGCTAGATATATAAAGTCACTGAGTTAGCAAATCCTTAACCATTGCTCAAATGGGAAACATGTACATACATACATCTCTCACATAGATTATCATTTTATGTCCTAAAAGCAGCTCATCCTGACAGATTTTCATTACAAGTGAGAAAAAGTTCTGAAGTGTTAAGTGACTTGCCTGAGGCCACCTTAACCCACTGCCCATAGTCTGCTGACTTGTGCATTCAGAAGCCAGAGTTGATATTCAATCACCCCTCCCCCCAGGTTGCTCCCAAAGGGAAGCTTTCTGCACTACTCTACATGCTCCCTCCTATCTCCATCCTCTGGACAGCTCTGAATGAGAACTGAAGCAGCACACAACAGGGCTACATTGAGCTTAGCTGA